CTGCCGACGCTGCCCATGGCAGCGGGGGGCGAGTGGGCAGCGGCGTGGAGCTGTGCAGGCCCCTCAGCGGCGGCCTCGAGGGGCATTGGCAGTGTCTGCACAATGGCCATGGCGGGGGGGCCCCCGGCGGGCAGGGGCACGCAGGCAGCCTGCAGGCAAGGGAGACAGGACATCAGAGCTGTGGGCACCATCAGCCATGCCCCACCAGCTGCCAGCATCCCCAGGTGGGCACAGAGGCACCCCCGGACCCTTGGTCACCATCACCCCATGGGCACAGGCCAGGCCAAGGGGAAGCAGGCAGAAGGAAATGCCAAATGAACAGGATATAACTAGGATTAGCCTGGGGGGTGGCACCAGCGCTCCCCAAGGCAGGCTCAGCACCCCAGTGGAGCAGCCCAGAGCTGCCAGGGGCAGTGGCAGTGGTGGCACTGTGTGCTGATGCGGTCCTGTCCCCTGCTATGCCCCGGCATGACCCCGCCGCGGGAAGCGTGCCAGGGCTAGAGGCAAATCCCGAGAGGCCTGCGGAGAGCCAGCTCCGGGCAGCCTGCCCGCCTGCCTGCCCCACAGCACTGCCTACCCCATGGCACCCACCAGCACAGTACCCACAAAGATTGGGGGGCAGCCCTACACATCGAGGAAAGCCCCTTCCCCTACCGCACAGCCCCCACCTCTCTGCCGTGACCCCACAGAGGGTGCCCCCCACTCCCAACCATCCACAGCAGGGGGCAGGGTCCTCTGGAGAGGGCCAGCTGCCAGACAGACAGGGTGGGCCAGGATGCAGACAGCAGGCTCCTTCCCAGCCCCAACACATGGGTGCCCCTTGTTCCTGCCCCACACACCCCCCTCCAGCCAGGGGGGGTCTCTGCCAGTGCCCCACTGCGGCCCCCCCTGCCCCAATCCACGCCATACGCCCGCATGACGAGAGCCAGCCGATGGGCCAGATCCAGCCCCCGCTGCCTCATCACATCTCGCACATGGCTGCGGCTGGCACGGGGCGCGGGCGGGGGGGGCTGCTGCCCGCATGGTCTCGCCCGCTGAGCTGTCACCTGAAATCAATCTGCCTGCCTGTGCCCGGGGGGGCAGGGGGGCAAGCAGGGGAGAGACGCTGGCGAGCCAACCCCCCTGCCACTGTCATCCCCACCGGCACGTGCCGTCTCCAGGCACCATGACGTGACACCGTGCCCGTGACATCCCCGGGTGGGAAGGAGGGTGACCACCCTCCAGCTCTGCTCACCTCGCCAGCCGCTGCCCATCCGTCCGGTCCACTTGGGCCCCCGCGCCACGAACACGGCTCTGCCAGCCCCTGAAGCAGGAAGGAGAAAGAGGAGGGGGTCAGGGTGCCAAATGGCAGCCAGGGGTCCCTGTGCCCCCCACAGGCTCCCTTGCTCAAGACCCC